GATCGTTATTATATTGTAATAACATAGCTACTATATCGTAACAATATCATCAAAAATTTACAGGTTTCTGTAAAGTAATAACTTTGTATTAGATTTTAGAGAAGAAATAGAAAGTAGAAAAGATATTAAACAAGGATTTGAAGACCATATTGATAATGAAATAAACGAAATAGCAAATAGTTTAGAGTCTAGTTATAGCAAAGAAAGAAGGGGTAAAAATAATAAAATAAATAATAAAATAAATGATGAAGTAGAAGCAGATAATAGAAATAATGAAATAGATAATGAAATAAACAATAAAGCAAAAGCAGATAATAGAAATAATAAAATAGATAATGAAATAAATGATGAAGCAGAATTTGAAAAAGATGAAATAAATAAAATAAAAAAGGTATATATTGTATGTAGTATATATAACTATATTAGAGTTGTGGGTGAAGCTAAGTTTGAGCTTATTATAGTTTCAGTCTAAGTTTATTTGTTATTGATTTCATCATATTTAACAAATTTTCATTAGTTTTACTGCAACTTCAAAGTTTCACTAGTTTTTATTTGCAACTTCAAAGTTTTACCAGTTTCACCTACAACTCTAATATATATATATATACATATATATAATTATATATATACTGTATATATTAATATATATATATTTTTTTTTTTTTTTTCTTTTTTGTATGGTTTAATACCTGTAATTTTCTTTCGTAAATTTGGCATATATTTTCTTTCCTTATGAAAATGTAAGAGATAAACTATTCTGCCCGGACTTAGGTGGGAAAAGTTGAAGGCCAAAGGTAGCTGAGTACCAGGCTATAGCAAGTTTTTAAATGCATGTAGCAGCGCATGTGGGATTTGTTGGCCAACATCAGTGCGATAACTGTACTTGGGCACTTTTATAGCAGCCGGGTATTAGCCAAATATGATTTTAGATAGTTTAGCTAGTCTAAGTTTACATACATCTAATAAATTTGTGCGAGGTTATCAAAGAAAAAAAAAAAAAATTTTTTTTAAAAAATTACTTTTTGGATTTTAGCTATATATAAATGGTTTGTATATCTAAAGTTCTAGTCTCAATACTAATATATAATATATATGTGTTTATAGTACTACCATATATCAATTTACTTAAGTATTAATAAAAGTTTGGGCCAAATACTACACCCGGAGTAGGGATGTTATGGTCCTACAAGGACCATAGTCCGGACTGGTCTTTTGAACCAGTCCAACCAGTTTTCAGTCCTAAATTGAGGACTGGTCTGGACCAATTCATAGCCAATAGAATGATCTTATTGGCTAAAATATATATATAATTTATATATCTATAAATTTCCAATGTCAGCATAATCTAGTAACTTGTCGATTCGGTTATTGTAGTGATGCAGTAGAATCGTTCCAATGATGTTACGGCTTAAGCCGTAACTAACTAAAAACTTATGTCGCAACTAGTTACGACAAATCATTGGGATTATTCTACTGCATTATTAGGTCATTAGCAAGATAGCTATAAGGTCTTCAGCGATCATTAAAACCACATAGCTTATTTCGAAATCTGCCAATGGACCGGTTTATAGACCAGTCCTAGACCATGATTCAGTCCACAGTTCTCTGGTAGGACTGGTCTTTAGGACCAAAACCAGACCAGAACGGACCGAAACATCCCTACCCGGAGTATTCTCCTAAATATTAAAAAAAAAAAAATTACTTCTTGATTATTTCAAAGATAAAAAATATTTGTAAATAAATTCATAATAATTTTTTAATTTATATTAGAATTCTGAAACACAAAATGCTGATACTCAAAATCCTAGCAACAAAATTTCAATATACAAAATCCTGACAAATTAAAATTCTAAAAATATTAAAATTAGAATTTTAATTTGTCAGGATTTTGTGTATTGAGATTTTGTTATTAGAATTTTGTATGTTGAGATTTTATATGTCAGGATTCTAATATACAACCTAATTCTTATTTATTTTTTTTTAAATACTATATATTTCTTTATATTAAAAAGTTTAATTTTTTTATTATCTAATATTTTTTAAATTTGGAAGTGTATTCTAAATAATATTTTTAAATTGTTTCTTTATTATTATTTTCCTAATCTATTTCATTTAAATACTTATATCAAAAAATTTATAAAATTTTCTATTCTACTTAATTAGTAATTTAAGTATAATAGTATTTATTCATTTTACTTTATGTAATTTTTTTAATAGTTTAATTTTTTATTTTTTTTGTATTAATTTCTTCTTACTTTGATTAATTCTTTTGGATTTATATATTTTATTAAATGTATTCTATTTGCTATTTCAAACTATTCTTTTATAATTATATTTTATTTTATTTTATTTTTTTTTATATTAAAGATGAGACCATGCTCTTCAGTGTTGTTAATTTAACCAGATAAATAATAATTAACTATTTGAACCAATGAATCGATTATTTAATCAAATTAACCAGGTCAAGACAATTTAAACAATTATGATAAAAATAGAGCTGCATTTTATATTGTTAAATAAGTTATTATTAATTTATTTATATCCAATTATTTAAAACATATATATTTCTTTGAATAACTTCTTTGTAATAATAAAATATAAAGTTAAAATTTAATATTTGATATTATAATAAAGATGGGAAAAAGACAACATCCGTTTATACCTTATTTTATAATTTCTGAAGAAAAGGCAAATTCAACACATCATTTTGCAATTTGCCGATCATATAAGTGTGCATACCCGAATAAAGAAGAATCTGAATTAAAGTTTGTTAATAAAAAAACTACATGCAAAAATCATTTACATAACTGCGAAGTTTTTCATAATGAAGTTACTTCTGAGGAATATGAAAGAATATTAAATTTAGGTAGTAAATTTGTACAACCTTTAGATTATAAAGATGATGGAGAAAATTCTTGTTCTTCATCTCAAAGTCAAATTTCTTTACTATTAAAGATTTCAAAAAAAACAAAAATTAAATAATTTAACAACACAGCTGATATATAAATATGATCAGGATCAATTTAATAAGTCAATTCTTTATGCTACGATATCTACTAGAGTTGCTTTTAGATGAGTAAATAATATTTGTATAAAAAAGGTATTTGCAATCGCAAATCCAACTATAAAATTACCAAATCACATTAATTTAGCAGGAAAAATTTTGGATAATGAAAAAAAATCTGTTCAAGATCATCTAATGTCTGTAGTAAAAACTGATGAACAAGGCATAACATTGGCATTTGATGGCTGAAAAAATATTATAAAGCAAAATATATTAGATGTTGTATTAATAACTTCAAGTGGCAAGCCACTAATATGGAAAGCAGAAGATATAAATGGAAATTTACAAAACTGGCAAATGATTTACAAATATGTCATCAAATTTTTTGAAGAAGCAAAAAATAATAATATTAAGATTATCGCATTAGTAACTGATTCAGCATTAGAAAATGCCATAGCAAGGTAATTTTAATTAAACTATAATATATATGCATATTATTAAGCTAGTATAATATTTATAATAAATATTTTAATTTAGGAAATGATTACAAAAAAATATTAGAGCCAAAGTTTTTTTATCTTGTTTTGCGCACCAATTGAATCTTTGTATAGGAGATATTTTTAAAATATCAAGCCAGTTTATGAAAACTTCTAGTAAAGCTATTTGTTTAGTTATCTTTTTTAATAAGTCTATATATTTTTTAGCCAAATTACATATAGAGCAGCAAGAAATTTATGGAAAATATATTGCACTAATGATGCTAAATAATACTCGTTGGAATAGTCATTATTATTGTTTTAAAAGTATTTTTAAAACTAAAATTGCATTAAAGGTATAGAAAAATATTTAATTATATTTCAGATCTTTAATATTTGTTTGAGATATTTTATATATGTCGTAAACAATATAGATTATCACAACTTTATCATGCTAATCTATAATATTTGCAATAGCTTATAAAATATCTATGTATTATTTATTACAATATTAATAATAACTATATTAATTTATTTTATAGTCATTAGTTATTAAAAATTCTATGGAGTCTAAAGAAATTTTATCTGAAATTTGTGAAATAATTAATAATGAACAATGGTGGCATGATTTACAAAATTTGGAAACTTTAATTTATCTATTTTGTGCTATATTAAATAAACTTCAGAGAGATAAAGCTCAGTTACATGATGTACTACATGGTTTCAGATATCTAATGAAAGTTATTAAACAGCAAGAGACTTCTGATTTTCAACCAAGATAATTGAAAAATTAGAGCAACACTGGAAACAATAAGAACAACCATTGTTATTATTATCCTTTTTACTTCATCCAACATATAGATTAACAAAATTTAATAAAAATATTTCAATATTAAATTTAGTTATATTGGGTAAATAGATAATTTATTATTATATGGCCTGGTTTGATGAAAAGCCTCTAAAGATTCTTTCTGAATTGAATGATTGGTTTGATAAAAATATCCTTTTGATGATGAAAGCTTTGATAATTTTAATAAAGATATTATAAAATACTGGAAATTTGTTTCACGTGGTAGAGCAAGTAAATTTGCTAATATTGCATTACATATTTATTCAATTTGTGTTAATTTAGCCTCAGTAGAAAGATTATTTTCTACTATGAGATTTTTTCACACAAAATAATAAAATAAATTAAAGGTAATAATTTAAATATATACAGTCTATTTTTATTATAATAAACTCTATTATACTATATTTTAATATAGAAAGTACCCAGAATCTCTTACCATCTACATCAGTTTTATACTCTGGGTATACTATATTATATAGCAGAGCAATTTGTTTTATTTATAAATATTTAGTATACCAAAATTATACAGGTAATACAGTAATGTACCTAGTACAAATCAAGATACTAGAAACCAGAGGGTACTCTATAAAGCAAAATATGGTATTAGAAAAATTACAATAGTTGTAAAGTATATATAAAATCAGGTTTTAACTTGAATTACTTATATTTTTAGCATTCAAAAGTATTAGCCATGTGTCAAATTCGAGCCAAAATTTATCAAGATGAAATAAATATTAACATAGACTATACCCGGGAATGTTTTTATTCTAATAGTATTTTGAACAATCAACTAGATGAGATAAAAATAGAGAACCTTGAAGAGACAAGTTCTATAGAAGATGAAAATAGAAATATGTTAATAGAAAATAACATTAAATTAGAAGAAGAATAGCATAGAATAGTTCAATATCAGTCACACAATATGTCACATGTAAAATTTTTAATTATAGGTCAAATGATTGACGCACCTAAATTTCATATGTAAAATTTAGTCAAATTTTGCTTTCTTAGCTTATTTAGCAAGAAGAAGCTATCAGTCAAATTTCTTGGTCTGAGTTTGCAACTTCTTT